AATTTCCTCATCTGTAAAATGGGAGTAATAAGACCTGCCTCAAAGGAATGTGTAAGGTGATTGGCACAGTGCCAGCACATTGTATTACCTCCCCCTTTCTGAGTAGGTTCCCCATTTCTCCTCCCTCACCTCCAGTGCACCTACATTGAGGTGGAGCAGGTGTCGAAGACGCACGCTGTGATCCTGAGCCGCCCTTCTTGGCTGTGGGGGGCCGAGATGGGTGCGAATGAGCATGGTGTATGCATTGGCAATGAGGCCGTGTGGACCAAGGAGCCAGTTGGGGAGGGGGAGGCCCTGCTGGGCATGGACCTACTCAGGTGCGGGCCTTGCTTCCTTCGTCTTCCTATACGTAGAAATCTGGGGGCTGAGTTTTGGCCTAGACCCATCCTCCCCTCCCCTAAGCCTGGTTCACAGGGGCCTCTTCATCTCTGTCCCTTTTAGCCCTCATACCCTCACCTGAGAGGCTGTACCTGCCCCTCCTGGACTCTTCCAGCCCTATCCCCACAGTCTGACCAGGAACCCCCAAGTGCAGCCACATTTGGCCTCTCCTGACCCCAGAAATAAGGCAATAGTTTAAACATTTTTTTTAACAGAAGTAAAACTTCTTTCAAATGAAACCTCATGCAGAGTCCCAGTTTATAAATCGATAAAAGTGGACTAGCTCTGACTGGAAAGGGGTTCAGGGCACTTCTCTCAGGATTTTTTCATGAAACTCTCAGAGCACAACGTGAAACCAACTGGCATATCATTCTTAACACGATCAATGCCAGCAGATTTGCTGAGTCAGTTGGGTTGGCTGTCTAACCTCTCTGGCCTTTTTTGCCCACGGAGCCTGTGCCACCAGACACTGATACCCCCATGGCCTTTCTGTCCCCTGGACCTCTCTCTTTGCAGACTGGCTTTAGAACGGGGCAGCTCAGCCCAGGAAGCCTTGCACGTGATCACAGGCTTGCTGGAACGCTATGGGCAGGGGGGCAGCTGCCGGGAGGACCCCATGCCATTCTGCTACCACAACACCTTCCTGCTGGCTGACCGGACTGAGGCATGGGTGCTGGAGACGGCTGGGCAGCTGTGGGCTGCCCAGAGGATCCGGGGTGAGGGACCGGGCACCGGGACCTCGCAGAGGTGCTCCTCCTGTGCCAGCCTTGGGAGGGGGTGGGAGAGGTGGTGGGGGCAGGGAGAGGCCCTAGTCCAGGAGCAAACCTCTTAGGGTGGCTAGGACATCCACGGAAATGGGCCCATTCAGGACCTCTCCACCCCTTTCATTTGGTTAATGCCACCTTGTGCTTCAGCTTGCCACTTTTTCTGGGAAGCCTTCCTGGACTTCCTTGGGTGGTCAGATATCCCCCTTACATGCCAGCTGGTACCTCTTCTTCACTGCACTCACCACACGGTGAGCTTACCTTGATGTTTGTTGATTGTTGTCTTCGTCTCCCCCACCACACCGTAGGCTGCAGAGGGCAGGTCTGTTCCCTTCACGTGGTGTTCTCAGCACCTAACCCAGTGCTTGGCACACAGTAGGTGCTCCTCAAATATTTAGGATGAATAAATGAACAACTTCCCGTCTCCTCCATAGAGGGGGCCCGGAACATCTCCAACCAGTTGAGCATTGGCACGGACATCTCAGCCGAGCACCCCAAGCTGCGGGCCCATGCTCAGACCCAGGGCTGGTGGGGTGGGCAGGGCACCTTTGACTTCGCCCAGGTCTTCTCCCTGACCCAGCAGCCTGTGCGCATGGAGGCTGCCAAGGCCCGCTTTCAGGTTGGGCGGGAGCTACTGCGGCAACAGCAAGGTTCGTCGTGAGTGACTGGATGGGGGTGGGGACCAGCCGCTTTCCCCTCCCCCAGCTTCAGGGGGCTTGTGGCTGGAGGACCCCACTCTCCTCCTTGGCAGGGGGCATCACGGCAGAGGTGATGATGGGCATCCTCAGGAACAAGGAGAGTGGCATCTGTATGGATTCTGGAGGCTTCCGCACTACGGCCAGCATGGTGTCCATCCTGCCCAGGGACCCCACACAGCCCTGCGTCCACTTCCTCACGGCCACACCAGACCCCTCCAGGTGAGGGTGGGGATGGCTGAGAGCGTGTACCTATCAGGGGAGACTGGAGACTAAAGGATATGATGTGCCTCCATCCTTCTGTGTCCCATTAGGTCAGTGTTCAAACCTTTCATCTTTGGAGTGGGGGTGGCCCAGGCCCCCAAAGTGCTGTCCCCCACTTTTGGAGCACAGGATCCTGCTCGGACCCTGCCCCGATTCCAGACTCAGGTGGATCGCCGGCACATCCTCTACCAGGGACACCAGGTGGCCCTGGGGCTGATGGAGAGTGAGCAGGTAACCCCCAGGGAACAGGGGCTATCTAGGGGGATGACTCGCCTCCCCTCCCCGCAGCTGGGACTCTGGAAACATCAGAGGGGCCTGGGAGTGGAGGAGAGACTCCAGAGCTAGGGAGGGACGTCCCTCCTTCAAAGCCAGGCCACCCAGAAGACTGTCTGGTGGTCTGTCCTTTCTCCTACTTGTGCGAGGGATTCCGCTTCCTCCCAGTGGAAGTCTATCCCGGGGATCATCTCCTGCCTTTCCTGCAGGATCAGGGGCAGCAGCTCCGGCAGAAGCAGCAGGCTCTGGAGCAGGAAGGCCTGGAGGCTGCTAGGGGACTGCTGGCCAGGCAGCGAGCCCCACCACTCCAGGAGTGGGGCGGGCTCTTCCAGACCTTCGTGGAGAGGGAGAGCCAGATGTATGCCTAAATACCGCAGCTCCTTCTGGCCTGGGGTGCGGGAGTGTGCTGGGGTGCGGTTGCGGGGCCAGAGCAGTCCCTTCATGCCCTTCAGTCTTGCCCCCGATCGGCCAGCTTGGCCTTTGCCTTAATAAAAGTATTTCTGTGTTCTATGAACTGGATCCCAGGTCCGTGGGGGTGAGAGAGCCATGAGGGCAAAGGGTAACCCTGAGCTGGCAGTGGGCCCTTGGTGGCCTTGCTGGGCGGCTCTCTCTTTTTTGGCAGCGGGCCCTTGGTGGCCTTGCTGGGCAGCTCACTGTTTTTGTTTTTTTTTTAATTGTTGTAGTTTAAATGAAGTTTACATTTCAAGTTAGTCTTCCATACAAAAATGTATACATACATTGTTACGTGACCCAATTGCTCTCCCCGTACTGTGACAGCTCACTCCTCCTTTCCACCCCTGATTCCCCATGTCCATTCATCCGGCTCCTAACCCTCTCTGCCTTCCCATCTCACCTCTAGGCAGAAGCTGCCCATTTAGTGTCTTGTATTTACTTGAGCACACTCCTCACGAGTATCACTTTCTGGCCCACAGTCCAGTCCAATCCCTGTCTGAAGAGTTGACCTCGGAAATTGATTTAGTTCTGGGCTGATAGAGAATCCAGGGGCCATGCTTTCTGGTGTTCCTCCAGTCTCAGTCAGACCATTAAGTCTGGTCCCTGCTCCAGCAGGGACTCTCTATTGTGTTCCCTGTCAGGGCGGTCATTGGTGGTAGCTGGGCATCATCTAGTTCATCTGGTCTCAGGCTGATGAAGTCTCTGGTTTATGTGGCCCTTTCTGTCTCTTGGGCTAATACTTTCCTTGTGTCTTTGGTGTTCTTCATTCTGCTTT